AACCTGCAATATCCAGATAGTACTACCTTGCTTGCTGAAAGCAGAGAGGACTTAAAGTACTTACTAATGAAGTTCAAAGACCACAGCTTTGAATATAAGTTGCATCTCAATGTAATGAAAATAAAAATCTTCACCACTGGATCAATAAACAGCATCCATATAAATGGAGAAAAGATTGAAGTTGTCAAAGACTTCATTTTGCTTAAATCAACCGTCAACACTCATGGAAGCAGCAGTCAACAAATCAAGTGGCATGCCGTATTAGGGAAATCTGCTGCACAAGACCTCTGAAGAGCTCATTCCATTGAAAACCTTATGGAGCGCAGTTCTACTCTGGCACAATGGCCATGACTCAGAATCAACTTGACCACAACTGTTGATTACTTTCCTACTCCTAGACTGTTTCTTTCCTAATCCATGTATAAATTCCCCATCTGAAATTTCATACATCCTTCCTTTCTTTGCTATTGAGAATTCCAATTTTCTCTTTAAATTTACTACTTATGTGTTATCTCAGGAAATCTTGTTGAGTGATACTTACTTTAAAAACATTTAAAAAAAACTTTTTAAAAGTTTTTTTTAAAACATCAGCAGCTCGAACCACTGCTAAAATATTATAAATCCTTACATAGTTGGTGGTGTTGTGTTTTGTTTTGTTTTTAGGAAAAAGCCACAATTGTAACATTTGATTGTGGAAATGACATATATAAGGAGGGTGATGAGCCCAAAGGAATCTATGTAATTATTTCAGGCATGGTAAAGGTAAGGCAGATTTATTTATAAATGTCCTTGTGGACATTAGTTTAAAGCTGTATAAGACCAAGAATCAATAGCTTTATTCGTTTGTAGGACTACAGATACTGACAATTTTTATGTCCAGACACAATTAATAAGGTCACTCACCCACAGTTTTAATCATACTTTCTCATGATGATAAGCTATATCAAAAGAATCAAATTTTAAGATGGAGAATTGTAATATGAATCATTTCACATATGGTATTTGTCTGAATTGACGATTTACTCAAATCTGTTGTTGTTGCTTGGTGCCGTTGAGTCAGTTCTGACTCATACTAACGTTATGAACAAAAGAAGAAAATACTGTCTGGTCCTACACCATCCTCATAATTGCCTTTACATTTGAGGCCATTGCTGTTGCCACTATGCTAATCCATCTGGGATGGGGGACAGTCTTCCTCTTTTTCACTGACCCTCCTCTTTTCCAAGCATGATGTCTTTCTCCAGTGACTGGTCCCTCCTGATAACATGTCCAAAGATGAAGTCTTGTCATCCTTGATTGTAAGGAGCATTCTGGCTGTACTTCTTCCAAGATGGATTTGTTTGTTTTTCTGGCAGTCCATGGTACTTTCAATATTCTTCTCCAACACCATAGTTCAAATGCTTGAATCTCTTACAGTCCTCTTCATGCCTATGATGTGATTGAAAATGCCATGGCTTGGGTCAAGCCCATCTCATTATTCATTCTAAGTGAATTTTCAGTCATAGAATTTTGCTGAGGAATCAGAAAGATTAGAGTATTTATTTAAGAGTGCTTCGTTTCCACTCCTAAAAAAAGGAATATTTTGTTTCTAAGTCTTTGCTAATTTAATACATTTGCTTAAAAAGGAAGAAGCAATACATAGTTTTAAAAATATGTATATAAAAAATGTGTATATGTTAGAAATCTTAAACTCAAAATAAAAAGGTAATAAATTAGATAATTTTAGCAAAACAAGTCAACTGATATATTGTGTCTCTGTTTCTTGTCCCCTAACAGCTTCAAAGATCAAAGCCAGGTTTGGATTATGACCAAATACTTTTAGATTCAGAGGACAAGGATTTTCAGATAGCTCACACGTCCTATGTGATCAGTGGTGAGATAATAGGAGAGTTAAACTGCTTAACGAATGAACCCATGAAGTACTCTGTCACCTGCAAAACTGTAGTAGAGGTCAGAAAATAGCACTCTTTATCTTACCATCATTTCTAGCTTCAGATATGTGGTTTCTTCTGTACTTAGCACATATGTACAGTCCAGTGACAATTTACTTTTATGTAAAAAATAGAAATAATAAAGATGAAAATTTATCATAGAGTTATACTCATCCAGTACATTGTCTGGAGTCCTGGTGTGGCACTTAGAATAAGCGCAGGACCAAAAGGTCAGTTTGAACCACAAAGTAGGTCATTCAAACTCACCAATTCCTCCTTAGAAATTATGCTGGGTCAATATAGGTCAGAACAGACTCAATGGCACTTAACAACAACAGAAACATGTAAAGTGTCTTGACAAAACGGCTTCTGTAAGTTCACCTACCACAGTGAAGAAAGATTTAATCAGAAAAATAAAAAATAAAAAATAACTGGCTATATGAACTTTGTCATGGAGAAGTTAGTTATCAAAATCATAATTTAAAAGGTAAGGAATGGGGAACAAGCCAGAAACCTAAAAACAATTGCTATAAAAGTTCAGAAAAGTGGATAAATGTGTCTGACATGAGTGAAGAAGAAATACTCAAAGTACCAGGTATTTCCACTAAGTTTCTAGAATTTTCCCCATTGGTTTGTCACTTTGTTGTACTGCAGTGACTTGTGTTATGCTGTGATGCTGGAAGCTATGCCACTGGCATTTCAAACACCAGAAGTCACCCACTGGGGTCAGATTTCAGTGGACCTTCCGGACTAAGAACAGACTTGAAAGATGGACTAGCTAGTCCACTTCTGAGGGATGGATAAGTCACTGAAATCTTCATAAATAGCAGCAAAACATTATTTAATATAATGCAAAAAAATGAGCCCCCCACACATAAGAACTGTGTGGAAGAGCTGCCTCCTCAAAGTAGGATCTACATAAATGTAACAAAGCTTTTAGGGGCTTCATTTGCTGATAAGGCAAAACCCAAAAAGAGAAGCAGATACAAATATCCATTAATAACCAGAATGTGGATGTATGGAGTATGAATCTAGGAAAATTGGTAAGTCATCAAAAATGAAACTCATAAAGATTAATGTCCTAGGCATCAATGAGATGAATGGAGTCCTGGTGTGGCACTGTAGGATAAACCCTGGACTGCTAACTGCAAGGTTGGCAATTCAAACCATCAGCCAATCCTCTGAAACCCTGTACAGGGTCATTATGACTTGAAACCAACTAAGTGACATTTAATAACAACAACAACAGTGAGCTGAAATGGACAGATAGTGGCCATTTTGAATCAGACAATTGTATGACTTACTATGCTTAGAATGACAAATACATGAGGACTGGAGTTGCATTCATTGTTCAAAACAACATTTCACTATATATCTTGAAGTACAATGCTGTCTGTGATAGAACAATATCTATATATGCCTATAAGGAAGACCAGTTAATACAACTATTATTCAAATTTAAACAACAACACCAAAGCCAATGATGAAGAAACTGATCAACTCAACCAATTTCTTCAGTCTGAAATTGATAAAACATGCAATCAAGATGCACTGATAATTACTGGTGACTGGAATGTGAAAGATGGAGAGAAAGAGAATGGATCAGTAGCTGAAAAATATGACCTTGGTGATAGAAATTATGCTAGAGATTGAATGATAGAATTTTGCAAGACCAACAATTTTTCATTGCAAATATCTTTTTCAACAACGTAAATGGCTACTATACAGCAAATATCTTTTTCAACAACGTAAATGGCTACTATACATGTGGACCTCACCAGGAATCAAACTGACTACATCTGTGGGAAGAGACTATGGAGAAGTTCAAAACAAGGCCATGGGCCAACTGTGGAACAGTTGCAAGTTCAGATTGAAGCTGAAGAAAATTAGAACAAGTCCATGTAGCCAAAATACAACCTTGAGTGTATCCCAGTTGAATTTTGAGACTATCTCCAGCATAAATCTTACACATTGAACACCAATGACCAAAGACCAGAGGAATTGTAAAATGACATCAAGGACATTATACATGAAGAAAGAAAAAGATCATTAAAAAGACAGAAAAGAAAAGACCAAAGTGGTTGTCTGAAGAGACTTGGAAGTTTGCTACTGAACACAGAGTGCTAGTGTAAGAAATGATGAAGTAAAAGAGCTGAACAGAAAAATGCAAAAGGCATCTCAAGAAGACAAAGTATTATAATGAAATGTGCAAAGATCACGTGTTAGAAAATCAAAAGGGAAGAACACACTCAATATTTCTCAAGTTGAAAGAAGTGAAAAAAAAATCAACCCTCAAGTTGCAATATTGAAAGGTTATGTAGACTAAATATTGAAAGATTTAGGAAGCCTCAAAAGAAGATGGGATATATAGAGTCACTGTACCCAAAGCAATTAGTCGATATTTAACCATAACAGGAGGTAGCATATGATCAAGAACGAGTGGTATTGAGGAAGAAGTTAAGCTATACTGATGGCATTAGTGAAAAACAAGGCTCCAAGCAGTGATAGAATACTAATTGAAATGTTTCATCAAGCTGATGCAGCGCTGAAGTACTCATTCATCTATGCCAAGAAATGTGAAAGACAACTAACTGGCCAACCAAGTTGAAGAGATCCATATTTATGTCCATTCAAAAGAAAAGTGACTGTACAAAATGGGAAATTATTTAACAACACAATTATTATCACAGGCAAGCGAAATTTAGCTGAAGGTATTTTTAAAAATGATTGTAGCAGCACATTAACAGAGACCTGCCAGAAATTAAAGCAGGATTCAGAGGATGTGGAACAAAGGATAACATTGTTAACCTCAGATGGATCTTGGCTTTATTGATTATGCAAAGGCATTCAACTGTGTAGATCATAATAAACTATGGATGACATTGCAGAGAATAATAATTCCAGAACACATAATTTTGCTCATGAGGAACTTACACATAGATCAAGGGTCAGGGAAGGAATACTGTATTGTTGAAAATCAGGAAAGATGTGCATTAGGGTTGTATACTTTCATCATACTTAATCAGTCTGTATGCTGAGCAGATAATCTGAGAACTAGACTATATGAAGAAGAATTGGAATTCTTCTTCTCCAAGATTAGAAAAAGTCTTTCACCAGGATTGGAAAAAGTCTCACTATCAACCTGTGACATGCAAAGACAAAACTTTGCTTACTGGAAACAAAGCAAAGAGGACTTGAAGCATTTCCTTATAATGATCATACACTACAGCCTTCAGTATGAATTACATTTCAATGTAAAGAAAACACAAATCTTCACAACTGGACCAATAAATAACGTCATCATAAGCAGAGACAAGATTGATGTTGTCAAGGAATTAATTTTACTTGAAATCCTAATTAACATTCATGGAAGCAATATTCAAGAAATCAAATTATGTGTTTCACTAGGCAAACCTGCTGCAAAAGATCTTTTAAAAGAGCAAAGATGTCACTTTGAGTACTAAGGTGCGCCAGACCCAAGGTATTTTCAGTTGCCTCACATGTATATTATTTCTGGACAATGAAGAAAGAAGACCAAAGAAAAACTGGTGAATTTGAATTATGATGTTGGAGAAGTATATTCAATGTATCATGGACTGCCAGAAGAATAAACAAATCTGTCTTCGATGACAGCCAGAATGCCCTTTAGAAGCTAGGATGGTAAGCCTTCATCTCATTCATTCTAAGCATTTTATTGTTGCCTAAAATATTTGCTCTTCTAAAGTAACATATGTTTAGAAATACATCTTCAATGTGAAAGATTAGTTTTTAAATAATCTGCTTTTTATTGATCAGAATGTATAAGAATAATACTGAAACTTACTGAGTCATGTAGCCTTTTAAATTCAATAGATGCTAAGATCACACAAAAAATACTGATATGTATGTATCAGTAACAAGGGATACCGTTGCTGATGTCCAATGGATCTTGGCTGAAAGCAGAGAATACCAGAAAGATGTTTACTTGTGCTTTATTGACTACACAAAGGCTTTCGATTGTGTGGATCATGAGAAACTATGGAGAACATTGTGAAGTATGGTATTCCAGAACACTTAATTGTGCTTATGAGGAATCTCTACCTGGACCAAGAAGCAGCTGTTTGAACAGAACATGAGAACACAGAATGGTTTAAAATTAAGAAAGATGTGCAACAAGGTTGTCTTCTTATTCAACTTGTATGCTGAGCAAATAATCTGAGAAGCTGGGTTCTATGAAGAAAAACGTGGCATCAGGATAGGAGAAAGACTCATT